TCTGCAGGACATCGATCCGGCACATCGACCCGCACACCGGAAAAGGGAAGCACCGCGACGAGGCCGTCCGCGTCCTGAAGTAAGTTGTGAATAGTCGTCGCTGTCGAGTTTGTTAGTCGCCGACACAGGGAATCTCATGCTGACCTCCTCTCCACTACGTTGCTCCAGGCTATTCCGCACGGCTGCCCTGGCCGAGCTGGGGCGTCCCGGTAGGAAGTGGGACGGGGCGCCGCCATCACAAGCAGTGGTGGAGGAAAGGCTTGCCGACTGCGACGACCCTATCCGCGACGTGAGTTGCACGTTTAGGCTCCGCTACGGTCTGCGCGTATCTGTATGCACCGCTCATATTGTGCCGCGCTTGCCTGTGTTGTATGCAGAAAGTGCCGGGCACAGTGTCGGACGGGCATGTCGGCACCGGCATGCTTGCCGCGACGTCGTTCGGGTGGGTGGCCAAGCAGATCGGCCTGCTGACGGGCGACAAGGCTCGGAGCGCTGTGAGCATCGAGAACATCAAGGTCGCGGGTTTGAGGTCGCTCCGTGATAGCATGGTCGATTACATCTGCCATCGTGTCGCCGAAAACCGGATAGCGGCGCCGACTTCAGGCGCCGACGGACCCGCCGAGGGTGCGATTGATGACGACGGCGCGGAAAGTCAGACGGCGCCCCAAGCAGCAGCTGCCGCCCAGCGCCAGGAGGACTTGCCGGTGTCCGCGGAAGGAGGAACCGGTGGAGGACTAGGCGACGATGCGGCAGGCGCAGGGAGGAAGGAAGAGGAGTTGACGGACTCACGCTCAGAGTCGGAGTCGGAGGGGGAGGAGGAGGACGAAGGGGAGAAGGAGAATGAGGACGAGGAGGATGACGAGGGCAAGGACGAGAACGATGAGGTGGTGGAGGTGGTGGCCGGGAAGGATGAGGCGGCGCACGAGGAAGGGGTGGAGGAGGAGGTGGAGTACGAGCTGGAGTACGCAGACGGCACGGTTGAGGCGGTGGGGTCGGCGGACGAGAAGAACGAGGAAGCGGAGGATGGCGATGCGGGTAATGCTACGGGGTCGGCAGGTGAGGGGAAGGAAAAGGATGAGGTCGGCGTGGAGGCAACGACGGAAACGGGCCAGGAGGAGGCGGCATGCGAAGGTGCGAAGGTGTCGGTCGACGCCGGCGAAGGTGCGAACATCGCGGGCGTGCAGGAGACGGGGGACGCATCTGGTCGGCAGGGCCCTGCAACGGACGACGTCGAGGAGCTGCGACGGGAGAACTTGCTGTTGAGGGCGGAGAACGCTCGGCTGCAGGGTTTGCTCGATGCGGAACGGGCTCGGCTGGACGCGTTTTTTGTTGGGCTACGTGGACTCGTCGACCACCTGAAGGAGTTGGCCGAGCAGGTCGACGACACCGAGAAGTATGCGGCGGAACAGCTGCGAAACGCGGCGGAGGCCATGTCGCAGACCATCACGGGCAACATCACCGGCAGCTTCGACGAGGCGTGGAAGACGATGAAGACCTTCGCGGAACAGGCGTCGGCGTGGCTGGAGGACTTCGACAACCCGGAGGGAAATGTGGCGTATCAACGCGCCTTAGCGGTCACCACCTTGGCCGACCACGTCGACAAGGTGGTGGGCGATGCGCAGGAGGATTTGCGGGAGCACATCACGAGCCAGTTGTCCGCCGCAGCTGTCAACATCGCCACAGCTGTGACCGGCAGGCTCCCCGTGCAGCCGCCGCCACCGCCTCAGCCCACGCCGCCCGCCCTCCCGGAAGAGCTCTTGAAGTCGTTCAAGGCCGACATCATGAAGACGGTGACGGAGGCCACCGAGCAGTCGTTCGTTGCGTCCGGGATGAAGATGTTGACCGAGATGATCGGCACGGTGGCGCCTGGTCGACGTGGGTCGTCGCCTTCGGCCAATGACGCCGACGCCGCGCAACAGAGGGCGGCCGACAAGCAAGGCCTGAAGAGGTCGGGCGACGGTGACGACAAGGAGAGCTCGAAGCGGAGCAAGGGATCGGACGGGAGCCGCGGCACGAAGCCTCCTGCGCGGAGCGTGGTCGACATGCTGAAGGCGAAGGGGTGGAAGGTGAGGGGAGGGTCGACCAGCAAGGGAAGCGGAAGCGGGGGGGCGGACGGGAGACCTGCCGACGGGATCGCGGCTAACGTCGATGCACCGCCTGGCCCGCCTTTGGACGCCGAGCAGACCCATCCTCAGGCGAGCGGTGGGAAGGACGCGGCCCCCACTGCCCAGGCGGCGAAAGTCGGAGGCGCCGGAACCACCCAGGGGCCGTCTGACGCGGTGCCGGCCAAGGGCAAGGCGATGTCTGCGTCTGCTACGGTCGCCGGAACCGGCACGGCGAAGGCTGCCTCTGCTTCAGTCCCCGGAACCGGCAAGTCGAAGGCTGCTTCTGCTACGGTCGCCGGAACCACCAAGTCGAAGGCTGCTTCTGGTACGGTCGCCGGAACCACCAAGTCGACACCATGTAACCCGCCTGCGGCAACCACCGGGCCCGCCGGCCAGTCAGGTGCGGGGAAGCATGGGGAGGCCCGTGCGGCCCCTCCAGCTCCAGCAGCCCCTACTGCCGCCAAGGTCGACGCGAAGGCTGCTTCGGCACAGGGGCCACCCGGGAGTAACGCGCTTAGGGTGTTGCTCCACCGCATGGAGTCCCACCGCCCGGGCGCGCAGCAGCATCCTGTGGTCGACGCCGGCCTCGCAGAAACAGCACGTCGCTCCGTCACTCCGCACGTTGCCGGCAAACCGTCCGATGCCCAATCTGCCGCGCGGCCGGTCGCCGCCCCACCGCCTGCGGACCCCAAGTCCGCGTTTCTTCGCGCCCATATAGGCGCACGCAAAGCGGCAACTCCTCCAGTCACTCAGCCGGAACCCGGCACAAGCGCGACGCCGACGGCTGTAAATGCGACCGCACCCTCCCCAGGAGCAGCTGTGGTCGATCTGGCGGCGGAGAGGGGAGTCAGTGCAGCGCTAGCCACCGGCGGCCGCGCCGACAGGCATGCCGCCCTCGAATCCGTCCTGGCCCAGTTTGAGGCAGCAAAACGGCCCGAGCATGCCCCGGCACTGGCCATCGTGGACACGGCGCATGCGGAGCCGTCGGCGACCAACACAGGGGGTTCGGCGGAGCCGACGGCCGCAACGGGTGTTGTCGCCGAGGGAAATGCGGGACGGAAGGGTAAGGACGACACCGGGAAAGGGAAGGCGGTGTCGGCGGGGAAGGAGATGGCGGAAGACAAAGGGAAGAAGCCGGCACGGAAGACGGGCGGCAAGGGTAAGTCGGCAAAGAAGAAGGAGGAGGAGGAGAAGGAGGAGGAGGAGGAGGAGGAGGAGGTGGGGGAGGGGGAAGAGCATGGACGCCGGGGTCATGGCATCCGCCGAGACAGGTCTGGCGACGGGCAGGGGTGGGTGGGCGAGATGAAGTTCAAGAACCAGAATCGGTACATCGGCAAGTCCCGCGACAAGATGGAGCTGGCCTACGAGCACGCGATTGCGTACTTCGTCTACGACGGCTACGTGAGCAAGGTGCTCATGAAGGAGCTCACCGCCTTGAAGCCGGGAGAGTTGGATGAATGGAAGGCGGTGTGGGAGGAGGTCAAAATCCTGCCGACCGGGATGTGGACGGTGATGTGGGCCAGAGGCTTGTGCCATCCGAGACCAAGGTAAGTCGGTTACCGACATGCCGTGTTTTGACGACCAAGTCGGTGTCATTAATTCTATGTGTACGTGTTCGCTCGGCAGGTTCGACGACATACTCGGCAGGTTCCGTGGGTACGCAGGTTCGGGTGATGCGCTTCATGGCGTGCTCTGGCCGGCGATGTGGTTCCCCATCATCGAGGACACGGAGGAAGGCAGGGCGGAGACAAATGCCAACATGTCGGCGATGGTGAATCGCGTGTCGATGTGCGCGGCGTATGGAAAGGTCGCGGCGAGAGTCGCGTATGGGAAGGTCGACGGGAGCGCGGAGGCGACCGCGGGAGAGACGACGGATATGGAAGGCGCGGACAGGAAGGCGGACGAGAAGGTGCAGATGGGGGCCCAGGCGTTAGCGGCCTCTGCATGCGCCCTCTGGTGCTACATGTCGACGCCGGCGTCGGTGCTCGGTGCTGTGGGCGAAGGTAAGGCGGCCGCGATTCTGGCAGGTGCGGGGAAGGAGAGGGGCGAGCACTTCGCGATGGTCATGCACGTGGTTATCGAACACGCACGCACTCGGCAGGCTCCCGCGGGGGAGGTTGCACATAACGTCGCGCCAGAGCTGCAGCGCTATGGAGTGGCCAGGGCCTTCGAGGCGGGCATTGAGGAAGACGAGGCCGACATGATCGCAAGAGCGACGGTCGAGACCTTGGCGTTCTGGGGAATGTGCCCCCTCGACGGGCCCAAGCTCAAAGCGGAGGGCATCGATGTGCCGTGTGACGCGAAGATGGAGTACGACTTGGATCACAGGGGGAGGAAGGGGGAGAAGGTCAAGCAGGCCAAGGGCAGCAAGAGGAAGAGGTAGTACGGATGCGTAGTCGGCGGAATGATGTTTGCTAGGTTGCTAGGGTGTGTACTATATTGGTATGGACGGCGCCGATTTTGGCGTAGATTTGTTAAATGTGGCCTTTTTTTGTTCAAGTGCTGTTCGTTTCAATATTGGGCTAACAACTCGGTGTCACTGTATAACCATGCTAGCCGAATATCACCCGATGAGCCAAGTCGGCGCATATGTCGACATGATATGCACATGATACGTCGGCGATAAGCAGTGCAGAAACATGGTTGTCGGCATGACGTCGACAGTGATTTTTAGGGTTACACATCTACTGTACTGGGCGACAAACAACCAACATCGGCAACATTCACCGACAACTACGGTTCGCATGGACATTGATGTGGGATGTTTACAAACTACCAGAAACATCAGTCGGATGGGGCGGGGGGGGGGGGGGGGGGGGGGGGGGGGGGGGGGGGGGGAGGGGGGGCTGTTTAAGTCTGCCAAAATCTACGCAGACGCATATCCCATGAGGGACTTCATGCCGTCTTCTTGCGCTTGGTCGGAGGACGCTGCACGGGTGCGGTCGGCTTGGCCGGTGCGGTCGGCTTCGCCAGGTCGGCCTTGGTCTTCGGCATCTGCTCCTCCCAGGTGTCTGGAAAGAGGGCTTCGAGCCAATCGGCCGGCTTCAGATTGAGCGCGACAAGCCCACAGGCGAGGCGAAGCTTAGAGACGACCTTGGGGCCCAGCCCCTTGACTCCCATGCCAGGCTCTTTCGACTTCATCGGTTCCGTTTTCGGGTTGAGCACCGTGAGGGCGTCACAGAAGGTCCCAATGCCCGGTGCCGCGATCCTGTTCAGTGCGTCGACCACGGCCTCGGTGTCGGCGTCGCCGTCGCTCGCGCGTAGCTGGCGCACCGCATCCATGGCCCTCATCATGCGTCGCACTTTCGTGTCGAGCCCACCCTGCGTCGCGCCCTTTCCTGTGAGGAGGGTGTGGCGGGCGACGAATCCCTTCTCGGCGACCCTGTCGCAAAGGCGACGGGTGTCATTGGCGGTGGCGGAATTCCATAGGCGCCAAGCGTCCCTCACAGTCTTTGCCTCCCGCCACGGTTGCACCACGTTGAGCTCGTAACTGGCCTCCTCGTCCGTCTGTGGGGGGGGCGGGGGTTTGTCATCCCCTTTCTTGGCTCCAGCCCCCGTGCTGGCCGACTCCGCCGATCCACCATCGCTGGGAGTCTGCGCGGGAGCCGACGGCGGGGCCACCGGCACTCTCCGTGCTTCCGACAAGCGGAGTGCCTCGGTGACACGGGCTAGCTCGGCGGTGAGCCCAGCGATGGTGTCGTCGCGCTTCTCGATCTCCTCTAGGAGATCAATCTTCTCGTTCGCGGCGCGCTCTTTCTCCTTCTGCATCTGGGCCTTGAGGGACATGTTGTAGTACTCGGTGTCCATGCGCACCGAGATTTCCTGCAGCAGTAGGAGGAGGAAAACGTGAGGGCCGCGGTGGTTTGGTTTACACTCCCTACTGCACGTCGGCGACAGTATCGTCGACTTACCTCTGGCTGTATTTGGGTCGGGTCGCGACGCTTGTTGATCGTCTCGGTGTCGACGCTCTCCACCCGTTTCGCCCAGTGCTGGAAGAGGGGGATCCGGCAGAGCTTGGAACCTTGGACGTACGGGTGCCATGGTGTGCGGACTAGCTTCACCGCTAGGTCCTCGGCGACGATGCGGCGCAGCATCAGGAGAGTGCGCCAGAAGTGCACCGCGGCTTTGTCGGCGTCTGACCCCTCGACAGCCTTCCCTTCCGCCTGCCATTTGTCACGGGTACGGGGAGCTCAGAAAAGGTCGGCAACACGACTCGGCGGCAAGCTACGAGGGCGTCGACTAACATACCTCCTTCAGCATGTCGTCGACGCCGGGGAATATGTGCTCGGCGAGGAGCTTCAGGAGCTTCTCGGAGGGCGGCACCCTGCTCCGACCCAAGAAGTAGTCCTGCTTGTACCCCGAGTACCCGGCCTTCTTCATCACCACCCCCACCGGAATGGCGGTGATGTACGCTCGCGTCATCTTGTCGAGAGCCCAGTGTCCAAGCTCCGCGATCTCGGCGCGCGGCGTGCCGTCGATAGCCAGCTCCTGGGCCCCGCCCGCTCGAGCGGCGTGCACGTTCCTCTTGCAGAACACCTTGTTGGTGTCCCACAACTGCCGCGTCCAGCGTTGGTGGGTTGCCGCAGAGAGCTCACCCTGGTCGGTGTCGTTTTTGGCGAAGAACAGGTGCTTCTTGTACCAGCTAGCGCGTGTGCTGGTGTCGACCGGCGGAATGAGGCGGACGCCGTGAAACTGACCGATCTGATCGAGGACGAAGTGCAACCACAGGCCCGTCTCGCCGACGGCGCACAACTCCGCTTCGAGGTGCCGCGCGGCGTAGCTCTGCTGCAGACGAGCATCCTTGGACGTCTTCGAGTTCCGCGCTCCGATGACCATGACGACCGGCTGGTTCTCCGGGTTGATCGAGGAGGTGCTCGCCAGTCGGTACAAGAAGATGTCGGGGAGAGTGATCTCGCGGATGCTTGCACCGCGCAGGAGAGAGTGGTGGGAGAGTAGCGTGAGCACCTTCAAGAGAAGAAACCTCCACAGCGTCTGCGAAGGACCCGTACCCCGCGGGTTCCACGCCTTGGCCGCCCACGCCGGCAGCACCCTGAACATGATCTGGCGGAACTGTTCGGCGGTGTAGGTATCGCCGATGGTTCCGCGACGGCGATCGGCGCAGTTCCTGCCAACAATGCCATGGGCAAGGGGTATTTAGGGCGGCGTCGACAAAGATCATGACAGCAGGAGAGTGGTCGACGTAGGTTAAAACATAAACTCACTTGATGTCCCGCTCGTTCTTGGTGCGGATCATGTACCGCACCTCCGACCTGACCACCGATATCTCCCTCATGATGCTCAGTTCCGTCTCCCGGAAGAGCGTCGCCTCCACTCTCGCCGCCATCTGGCATGCCTTTATGCGCCCGAGGAGCGTGTGTACCGTTGTCGACTGCACCGGCTGTGTTCCTGTGGCGTTGTCGGCCCCCTTGCCGGACTCGGCATCGAGGTTCAACTCCCGAATCATGTACTTCACGTATGCGCGAAGCCGGTCCTTGGTGACCCTAGGGCCGTGCAGCCACACGTGAGACCGGGGGACATCGGCCTCTTGGTCCCAGTTTTTCTTCTTGTTCTCCCGGATGTAGTGCCCTATCTCGTCGACGTGCTTAAGCCTGTACTCCTGCGGAAGCTTGTTGCGAATTTGCTTCAACATCTTCGCCGCCCACCTCTTGTAGTGATAGATCCACGAGGTGTACTGCCTCAGCGTGCTGTTCCTCTCCACGGTTTGCAGGTGGCGAAGAGCGTCCATGACGAGCACGTCTACGCACGCGTAAACCATGTCCTCCTCGACGAAGTCTGCCGCTCTCCACTGTTCGCGCGGCACCGCCAAGTTCTCCTGGTCCTCGTCCTCGTCCTGGTCGAGCAGTATGTCGATGAATTGCAGTTCCCGCCTGAGTCGTTCGTCCAAGGTGCGCGGATTAGAGCTACGAGGTGGACGGTCGTCGTTTTCGTCATCGCTTTCCTCCTCCTCCTCCTCCTCCTCCTCCTCCTCCTCCTCCTCCTCCTCCCCCCCCTCCTCCTCCGCGTCCTCGTCATCGACCTGGTTTCCAGGGGCGGCCGGTGCCGACGAGGTACCTGGCCGACCATTTTGCGTAGGAGTCTGTTTTTTCTTCTTGTTGAACTTCCCTATCGGCGGTGGCGGAACGTTTGTGGTGAACACCCCTTCTGGGATCTGCGTCAGCTTGTCCAGATCGTAGAGTAACTGCAGGTTGTCTTCGTCGGTAGGTGTCGGACTGTGGTCGGTGGATGTCGGACTGCGGTCGGTGGTCGTCGGACCCTGGTCGGTGGATGGCCTAGCGTCGGACATGTCGACGTCGGCCATGTCGGTACACGTCTGCTGCTCTACCGTCGTCCGTGTGCGTTGGGGAGGTTGTTAAACCACTGCCAATACTGAGTCACGGGTGCGGTGTACGCCCGAACAGTTGCGCGGCGGTCGTCCTCGAGATGTCCCTCAATAACGTCTATCTCGGCGTCGACCTCGAGATCGCGGGGGGTGGTAAACCAGAGACGGTACTGTGTGACGGGTGCGGCGAACGCGCGAAGCGTCAGGCGGTCTTCGTCTTCTTCGAATTCTCGCTCAAGCGCGTCTAACTCGGCTTCGAGTTCAAGCTGTTCCAGCTGCGCCTTGATGTCGGCGTCTACCGAGTCGGCGGGGGGTGGGATGGGTTGCGGCTGTTGGGCCCTCGGGCGACCTCTGGCCATGCGTCGCCGACTTGCTACGTCGACTCGCGACGTGGAACCTGTGCCGACTTGGACGAACAATCGGCTGTCGAGCAACCTACAGGCGCGATGACAGACTGGCAGCTGAAAATTCTAAGGGAACGAGAGAGCAGGAAGGAACGCAGGAACGGACAAGCGAATGAGCAGGCTCGCGGGGCAACGGACGGGTATGGTCCTGAGCGACTACGATGCTGCCGCGCGTCACGCACACCCCAATGCATCCGCCGCCGTGCATGTGTTCTCGTAAAGGCGGCGCACTGTCCGACGTGGCACGTGCCAGGCATGGCTAGCTGGGCGCCGCGCTGCACGGAAGGGGCGTAAGCCAGTGCCATTCCACGTCGGAATGGGCGTGCGTTACGTGGCTTGCGACCGCCATTGGCGCCCCAGTGCAGAAATTAAGGCAAGCAGACATGGATCTCCCGGAGGCCCGGGATGACTCAAGCACGGCGTGGCAACCATGCCGTGGGGGGCCTATGATCGGCGCCGACTTCCACTCGGCGCGCTTGGCAGAGAACGTGCCGTGTGGCCGGGTTTGTGTGCCTTGGGATGATCTGGTCGACACCGACTTCCCTGGCAACCCGCGATGCCACAAGACAGTGAAGATGATGACGGTCTGATTTGCGCCGCGTGGGTTTGCACCGCTAGAGCGACGCGTGGCCACGACGCCCACGTCGTGGCAGCCTTGTAATCGGTGGGGCGGGTCTCGCACCTCCCTATTGGTCCGCGTGGAGGCATCCGCGGCTCGACGTGGCGAATTTTGTCCGCTGAGATTTCCTTCTCAGGAATCTCCCAGCGCAAACGGGTGTCGTCGGATTGTCGACAATCCCGAGGGCTCCCGAGGCCCCTGGGACGCCATTTGGGCCCGTCTGGGAGCTCGGAGGTCGTCGGGAGGTCGTCAATCCCGAGGGGGGGCCTTGTCCCTTTTGAACCGCGAAATTGGGCGGCATTTTTCGTCCGCTGAGGTATATCATCTCTGCCAAACCAGTCACCAGCCACGCGTGAGAGGGGTCTCATGTTTTTTTATTCCCTTGGGTTACCCAGGTTCCCATGCGATCACTGGGCAAATCTTTTGACCCTGCCCACGATCCCAATGGTGGAAGGAGGGGTTGAAACATCGCCATAACGACCCCCTCCTTCCGACGAGGGGGCGCGCTGCTTCCGATTTGGTGGGGGGGGGGGTTGGGTCAAGTAGAAATTTCACGGAAATCTCCTCGTAGCTCTAGCCTAACCCTAGCCCTCCAAGGAGGAGCCTGCCTGTCGAACAGTACCGCTGAGTCTGCTGGTTCCAGTTTCTGCCTACGCGTAAGCTTCGTTGCAACTTCCCGTTACTAGCGCGAGAGAAACCGTCGGCAACAGAGAGATCGTCAACGTCATCGTCATCGTCAATCCTGTTTCTACGTGAAATGGGTTTCTTGACATCCGCGCTTGTAGCACGTCATCGCAACTGCCGGCATCATTTTCCCTCAAAGGACCGGACCGTACTGTTCCGTTTGCACTGCACTACTCACCCGTTGTTCCCTTCTACTAATACCCTAGCCATTTTGGAAGATGTCCGTTTCCCGCGGCATCTTGAACTCCCATTTTCGTCGAGTCGCTAAATTAACTACTCCCAAAAGGATATTTTTCCTACCTGCTTCAACTTGCTTAGCACGACAAGTGCTCTTACCGCTGTTGCTGCTGCTGCTGTTGTTTACTCCCGCATTATTAGCGTAGTTTTCAGTCTCGCCCGCGATTCGATTGCAATTTCGTGATGATCATGGCGCGTTCGCACGGCGTGGCTGTGTCGCGTCGCTCAAGCCTCGTTCTCGCTGCTCTGGTGGCTCTTATGCTCTCAGGTGTGCTCGCATGCTCTCAGGTGTGCTCTCATGCTCTCAGGCGTGCTCTCATGCTCTCAGGTGTGCTCGAATGCTCTCAGGTATGCTCTCATGCCCTCAGGTGTGCTCTCATGCTCTCAGCTCAGGTGTGCTCTCATGCTCTCAGGTGTGCTCTCATGCTCTCAGGTGTGCTCTCATGCTCTCAGGTATGCTCTCATGCTCTCAGGTATGCTCTCTTGCTCTCAGGTGTGCTCTCATGCTCTCAGGTGTGCTCTCATGCTCTCAGGTGTGCTCTCATGCTCTCAGGTGTGCTCTCATGCTCTCAGGTATGCTCTCATGCTCTCAGGTAAGCTCTCTTGCTCTCAGGTGTGCTCTCGGGTCTCAGATTTGCCACCATGTTTAGTCGGCTGAAGCACAATGACATGCATAATGCTTCGCTTCTGTGGATCCAGGCTCACCTCCTCCTCCGCTAACTCCTTCGCGAGATATCCTCGTTATTCACTGCCCTTTGCAACCTCAGGTGATTATTCACCCAGCATTCCCTGTTCCCCTTCTTCCTAAAGAGTCTTTCCCGCCGCCCTTGTCCGTCCTCTTTCATGCATCCTATGCGTCCAAACCTCCACCTCTTGAGAGCATTCCTTTCCTTATCTCCTCATCCCATCCTCCTTCCTGTCTTTCCTCCTTCTCTGTCTGTCCTCAACCGCAACCATCTTCCGCTCTCTGCGAGTGCGCCCAGGGTTGCTGCTGTTCGCCTCATGCCTTCTTTCTTTCCTCCCACCACGCCCCTTCCCCTCCTGCCCCTCCCGCCCCTCTCTCCCATCCGCTATCAGCCTGTGCACCCAGGGCTGCTGCTGTTCGCCTGCCAGCAGCGAGTAACGCTGCCAATCGTAAGTTAGCACAGCAGCCTATCAACCTATCATAGTCACCACCGTCATCATCAGGGCCTGAAATACGTCAGTCAGCGCCCGCCAAATTGGAACCTTGCCCGCAACCCCTCAGGGGTGTATGCGATGTTGGATACCTATAGTGCTCTTTCCAGCCCCCCTATCCCTCCGCAATCCATTTCTCCCTCCTATCTTGTCCGCACATTACTCTTTGCAGTCTCATGTACTACACATAAGTAAGTTTCTTTCGTCCACACGTAAGTTTCTGGTAGAAAGTCCTTGGGATGTGAGGTGGCTGGTTGTTCCTCCTCATCGCTTTTTTGCTCTCTTTAGTCCACCTGTCCATTCTCCATTGCACTTTCCTATTCCTCTCCTTCGCTGCTCTCCCCGCTCCTCGTCCCTGTTTCCTCTGCTCATTCCTTTTTCCCTCTCCTACTCCCTCTCCTATGTTTTTCTCTGTTCCATCGCTCTGTCTGGATCCTCTCTCCCTCGCTGGTCCCTGTGAATAAGATGTGGACAGACTCGTGTGTGCAGCGCAAGTGTGGCGCCAATGCGGTGTGCATGAAGGAGAGGGGCGATGCCACCTGCGTCTGCAACATTGGATTCTCCATGACCCCCACCGGCTGTGTTGGTGAGTCAGTGCTGCTAGCTAGCTAGAGTGGTGGCGGATGCTGCTGTGCTGTGGTGAGTGGTTCTGTTCTGTGGTGAGTGGTTCTGTTCTGTGGTGAGTGGTTCTGTTCTTCTGTGGTGAGTGGTTCTGTTCTGTGGTGAGTGGTTCTGTTCTGTGGTGAGTGGTTCTGTTCTGTGGTGAGTGGTGCTGCGTGGATTCTCCATGACCCCACCCACCACCTGTGTTGGTGAGTCAGTGCTGCTAAAGTGGTGGTGGATGCTGTGTGGGTGAGTGGTGGTGGATGCTGTGTGGGTGAGTGGTGGTGGATGCTGTGTGGGTGAGTGGTGGTGGATGCTGTGTGGGTGAGTGGTGGTGGATGCTGTGTGGGTGAGTGGTGGTGGATGCTGTGTGGGTGAGTGGTGGTGGATGCTGTGTGGGTGAGTGGTGGTGGATGCTGTGTGGGTGAGTGGTGGTGGATGCTGTGTGGGTGAGTGGTGGTGGATGCTGTGTGGGTGAGTGGTGCCGTGGGGGTGAGTGCTGCTGTGCTGTTCTGATAGAGGTCTGTGATTCGGGAATATAGCTTGTCGTAACGCCCCGCGCCTTCACTCACTAAGTTAAGAGGGGTTATTTACCCTCCGTGTACATTCGCAGTCATTTGCTGCGTCAGTCCTTCTTATGCTCTCCTCACGCGCTCTACTTGAATCACTTGTGAGATTTCTTAAAGTGTAAATCTGCAGTGCAGTGAATTACTGCGTTAGTCATTCGTACTCTCCCCTCACTCGCCCAGCTCCCTCCCCTCCCTCTCCCCTTACCTTCTTCAGACACGTGTGCACTCAAGGCGTGTGGAGGCAACGCCACGTGCACCAAGAACAGTGCTGGAGTGGCGTCATGTGTTTGTGCCTCTGGCTTTGTGCTGCAGGCTGACAAGAGGACATGCACTGGTAGGTGATGCTATGTGCTGTGCTGTGCTGTGCTGTGCTGTGCTGTGCTGTGCTGCCATGAATGCACCGGTGGGTGCTGCTGCTGCAATGAAATGCACTGCTTGGTATGCATCATGTGCTGTTGCGTTCGTACAAGAAGACAGCAGCAGGGTTCGGGGTGAGCAACAGGTCCACCGACCCGACCCAACCTGACCCGACCCGACCCAACCTGACCCGATCCGACCCAACCTGACCCGACTCGACCCAACCTGACCCGACCCGACCCGGTCACCCGATCCAATCCAACCCAACCCGCCATGCCTTGTGCTATGTCATGCCTTGTGCTAAGCCTTGTTCTATGCCTTGTGCTATGCCTTGTGCTATGCCATGTGCCCTGCCATTTGTACTGGCACGTGCTGCAGCCGGGAATCTCAGTTGCCTTGCCCCCCTGTCCCCCCTCGCACCAGACACGTGTGCACTCAAGGCGTGCGGAGGCAACGCCACGTGCATCAAGGACAGTGCTGGAGTGGCGTCCTGTGTTTGTGGCGCTGGCTTTGTGCTGCAGGCTGATGGCAGGACGTGCACTGGTGGGTGCTTCGCCTTGCTTTGCTACATGCTGCCATCATGCCATGTGCTTCGCCTTGCCACGTGCTGCCATCATGCCATGTGTTTCGCTTTGCGTTGCCACATGCTGCCATCATGCCATGTGTTTCGCTTTGCGTTGCCACATGCTGCCATCATGCCATGTGTTTCGCTTTGCGTTGCCACATGCTGCCATCATGCCATGTGCTTCGCCTTGCTACATGCTGCTGATGGCAAAGCAGGCCATACGTCCATTCTTGTAAGACACAACTCTCCTCTCCGTTCACACAGTATTCTCCTCCCTTCCTCTCTCCCCCCTCCCAGACACATGCACACTCAAGGCCTGTGGTGTGAACAGCCGGTGCATCAAGTTCGGCACTACGCCATCCTGTCTGTGTTACCCTGGATTTGAGCTGCAGGCGGATGGCAGGACGTGCAATGGTACGTGTGCTGCTGTTATGTGCTTCGCCTTGCCTCTGTTTCTCTCCTCTCATCCCCTTCCCATCTCCTCTTCAACTCCCTCCATTCTGATCTGTTTGTTTGTTCCTCTCCCTCCATCTTTCCTTCTGATACGTGCGCCACGAAACGTCATGCCGCCAAAGTGGGGTTCCCTTTGTTCCTCTCCCTCCGCCTTCCCTTCAGATACGTGCGCCATTCAGGGCTGTGACGCTGCGGTTTCTGAGTGCGTGAAGGATGCTGCAGGCGTGGCCTCCTGTGTTTGCAACACGGGCTACCAGAATGTGTCGGGCACGTGTGTGGGTACGTACAGGTACAGGTGGCATTGACTGACGTACAGGTGGCATTGACTGACGTACAGGTGGCATTGACTGACGTACAGGTGGCATTGACTGACGTACAGGTGGCATTGACTGACGTACAGGTGGGGTTGACTGACGTACAGGTGGTATTGACTGACATACATGTGGCTTTGACTGACGCACAATCCACACTCCCTCCACGCCCGTTTCCATCTCTCCCTCCTCTCTCGTTCTCCATGTTTCCAGGCATCGACCCATGTGGGGGCTGCCCTGCAGGAGCTACGTGCACTGCTACTGCCTCTGGGGGCGTTCCGTACTGCATCTGCCCTCCCGGCTATGGCCTGACCAGCACTGGTTGCATCAGCGGTAAGCCCAACACTGTCTGCGCTCTAGGCGTGAGCCACTGGTGGTTGGTGGGGGTGCTTCCAGTTTTAACGTTGTATGTCCAATCCAATTCCACTGGCGTTGTATGTCCAGTCCAATGCCACTGGCGTTGTATTACAGGTGGCAGTGGCATGACCAATGCTGCCTGCATCAGCGCTAAGCCCAACACAACACGTTGCCTCGTTCCAGGCAGGCAGCATCACCCAAAGTTGTTTGCAGTCTCGGTGTGTCCAACATTAGTAGTGGTTATTACAATGTTTGACTGAACACACCCAGAAGAACATGTACCTTTCTACGCCTTGCCCACCTTCCAGTCTACTTGTCTCCCTATGTGCTCCCCGTGCCCTTGTCCTTGCAGACGCCAACCCCACCGTCTCCTCCACCAGCATCACCTTCTACGACCAGACCAACTACACCATCACCACCAACACATACACCATGCGCCTCAACTACAACGCCTGCACCATTGTCCCTCCTATCACCGTTGAGGCCACGCGGGCAATTCTGCGAGCGGACGGAGTGCCTGGAGGGGCGGGGGGCTGTGCTGCTGTGTACGCGTTCCCCGGGAGCAGTTGGTGCATTGGTCCCAAGACAGCTCTTCGCCCTCCGGTTAATGGAACAGGCGGGTCGATGTGAGTCAATGGCAGTGAGAGGCGAGTGGTGTGAAATTGGAGGGGCAGGGGACTGTGCTGCTGTGTATGCGTTCCCTTGGAGCAGCTGGTGCCAACATAGCGCTTCCCCGGGAGCAGCTGGTGCATTGGTCCCAAGACAACGCTTCGCCCTCCGGTTAATTGGACAGGCGGGTGGATGTGAGTCGATGGGAGTGAGAGGTGAGTGTGTGAAATCGGAGGGGCAGGGGGCTGTGCTGCTGTGTATGCCTTCCCCGGGAGCAGTTGGTGCATTGGTCCCAAGACGGCGCTTCGCCCTCCTGCTAACGGAACCGGCGGGTCAACGTGTGGCAGGCGGGCCGATGTGAGTGATAGGTGGGTCAATGTGAGTGACAGGCGAGTGATGTGAGAATGGAGGGGCAAGGGCGCTGTGTATGCGTTCCCCGAGACGAGAGCGGTTGGTGTATTGGTCCCAAGACGGTGCTTTGCCCTCCGGTTATTGGAACGGGCAGGTTGATGGGTTGTCGTAAGTGGCCCACTTTAAATCTATCCAGCGTTGACTCTGACCCACTTTTTACCCGCTGCTTTGTTTGACACAGGTCTTGTGTCGTTCCTCTTGCTTGATGCTCCCTGTTTTTATGTATCCGTTCCCTCAGTGCTCACCCGTTTCTGTGTTATTTTTCCTCTCCCACAGCTATTATTTTGGCTATCCGTACAGCTCCTTCAGTTGCGTTGCTGCTGGTGAGTGCTGCTGGGTTGGTGGGTGCGACTGCTTTCAGTGTTCTCGTTGTTGCAAGTGCACTTCGGATTAAACTGCACACTTTCCTCCTGTGATGTTCTTGTTCACAATATTCGTGTTTCGTGATGCTCAGAGTCAGATGTCATGTCATGTCATGTCATGTCATCCTGCTGCTGCAACTAAGAGCTGTGGGGGCAACGGCACGTGCGTTGAGGACAGGACAGTAGTGAAGTGGTTTTTGAGACGCATATGAACAAAACCATTTACTCTCTTCCCTTTACTCTCTTCCCTTTGCTCTCTTCCCCTCCTAACAGAGACTTGTGCAACCAAGAGCTGTGGGGGCAACGGCACGTGTGTGGAGGACAGTGCAGGGGTGGCCTCCTGTGTCTGTAACGCGGGGTTTCTGCTGCAATCTGACGGCACCACGTGCGCTGGTATGTGCTGCCGTGCGGTAATATGTGATTCTGTGTGGTGCTGTGTGGTGCTGTGCGCTGTTGTATGTCTGCAGCTGGGGTGGCCTCCTGTGTCTGTAACGCTGGGTTTTTGCTGCAATCTGACGGCACCACGTGTGCTGGTTTGTGCTACTCTGTGGTTCTGTGAGGTGCTCTGGTTTTGTGTGGTTTTGTGTGGTGCTGTGTGGTGCTGCGCGGTTCTGAGTGGTGCTGTGCATCGCTCTGCAGCTGTGAACCGAGCCTTCTCATGCCCTCTCACGTGTAGTCCTGTTTTATCTCTCATTCGTCTTCGTATCCATTCGCTTAGACCACCCTCCCAACCCCTCTTTACTTACTCCTGCCCAACTCTCCGGTTCATGCCACTTCTTGCCCTTATTGTTCTCCTCCCTCAGAGGCATGTGGGTCCAAGATCTGCGATCCCACCACTGACTGTGTGAGGGATGCTGCAGGCGGGGCAACCTGTGTGTGCAAGGCGGGCTATCAGAACATCTCCGGCAAATGTGTCGGTGCGGTCATATTAGTGGTGTAATCTGCTATAACTTCAGTAGCTTGCGTTGTGTTTCTTAGTTGGTACATGTGCTTGGGGGTTCGTGTTACTGTAGGGGTGTGAAAGGTAAAAGCTGGTGTTTTGCATCCTGTTTCAGTGTATGCATGACAATGAGCGCATACCAACTCTCTCTTCTGCATTCGCAGTCTCAAACCCATCAACTTGCGCCCGTAGTAGTCTTGTGTTGTTCTGTACGGCTCTGCTGCTCCACGCTGGCCTTTAGTGTTCCATTGTATGCCGTAATCAGCATTTGTTGTTTAAAATCATCTCCTCCCTCTTCCCCACCTCCCCAGGCCCCTCCACTTGTGGGATTTGCCCCACAGGAGCTACCTGCACGGTTACTTCATCGTTCCCTACTGTGCTGTGTCGTGAATACTCGTTTTCTCCTTTTTCCTCCTCCTCGCTCTTCCTGATCCTCTCCCTCTTCCCCAACTCCCCAGGCCCTGCCACGTGTGGGAGCTGCCCCACAGGAGCCACCTGCACAGTCACTTCTAGCAATGTGCCGTACTGCATCTGTCCTCCCGGCTATGGCATGGGGTACTCGTCTTGCATCAGCGGTAAGGTTTTCTTTTGAGCCAACTTAAAAGCAGGAGCCACCTGCACGGTTACTTCTAGCAATGTGCTGTACTGCATCTGTCCTCCCGGCTATGGCATGGGGTACTCATCTTGCATCAATGATATGGTCGTAGCTCCCAATTATGGCATGAGCTTCCAATAATGGCTATGGGCTTTTGGATTTGGCATGGCCTTCCAATTGTGGCATGGCCTTCCAACTGTGGCATGGCCTTCCAATTGTGGCATGGCCTTCCAACTGTAGCATGGCCTTCCAATTGTGGCATAGCCTTCCAATTGTGGCATGGCCTTCCGATTATGGCATGGGCTTCCGATTATTTCATGGGCTTCCTATGGTGGCATGGGCTTCCTATGGTGGCATGGTGAATGTTGCTTGCTTGTTCAGAGTCTTTGTTCTCTTCCAACCCCCTTCCCTTCCGCCCCTCTCAATGCTATACTACCCAGGAGTTTGCCTCGATGCTTCCTCCACCAGCCTCACTCCCCCTCTCTCCCCCCCTCTCCCCCTCCCCCTTCTCCCCCTTCTCCCTTCTCCCCCCCTCTCTCCTTCTCCCCCCTCTCCCCTCTCTCTCCCCTCTCTCCCCCTCTCTCCCC